CAGATCGTGCCCAGCAGGCACACACACTCAGGGCAGCTGGCAGCACACCTGGAGGCTCTGCTCCATCTGCCAAGCAGGACGCTGACAGAGTGCCCCAGGGTTCTAGTGGTAACGCTCTGTCCTTGTCTTGTGTTATTCTCTCAGTTTCTCATTTTCTCTCTCTGCTCTTTTTTCTTTTCCCCTCTGGTCAGGACCATACCCTTTATCAATAAACGGTTTCCAGACATAATACTTGCTGCCTTTGTGCCCTATTTTCGTTCAAGAAATCTATCACACAGAATTTGCCTCTACTCCCCTTACAGCAGGATAGGACAGTGGCCAACCCACTTGTGTCTCGTGCCAATGTCTGCCGTGTGACAGCAGAGCCACCCACCAGCCAAGGCCATGGGGGAGTCTATCAGGAGGGCACTTGTTTGACCTTCTCTGCCCCCAGCAGAAATTGCTTACAGCCCTCTCTCTCTCTCGTAGCTGGGTTTGGGATCTTCCCCTCCAACTTTTTCCCCCCCCTTTCACCCCCCACCCCTGCTCTTTTGTCCCTTTAACACTCTCCTGGGCCACCTGACGGGGCTGGGGTCAGTCACTTGTGCTACTTACAGTGGTGGGCTGGACCAGAAACACACCAGGCAGATCTTGATCTGCAGTGCTGGGTTTTAGCACCCAGTTGAATCCAATCTTGCTAGTGTTTGCCAGGGTGATTGTGCTGTGATGAATTTCATTAAACATCTGGAAAGAAGGCATATGAGCAGGAAGTTACAGACCCAGCATTCCTGCTGCTGGGAATCTCCTTCCTCTCTCCTGCAGTTGAAAGCAGACACATGGGAGCAGGGACCAGAGAGAAGATAGGGGCACTTGGGAACCCAGGGAACCCCCAGGCACAGGGCACCTGCACAGGACCAGGGAGCTCTGGCAGCACACAGAGGTGTGGCAACAACCATGTGAGGGCCAGTAATAAATGAACCAGTGAACACAGGCCCTCTGAGGGGTCACCAACAGCCAGGAGAAACAGAGACAGCACTGAGGCACTCCAGAAGAAAGGGCACCTACATGCAAGTATTGGCAAGCAACATACGTGCATGTAGGTGCCCTTTCTTCTGGAGTGCCTCAGTGCTGTCTCTGTTTCTGGAAATAGCTGTGGGTTTTCAACTGAAAAGAGTGACGTGGGGATCATTCTGGGACAGTCTCCTAATATAGTGAGACAACTTCTTCCCTTGGTTATTGTGGGGATTAAGCAAGAGCTTTAGACAAGAGCATCTCCTTGGAGCTCAGGCTTTAGGAATGGAGCAGCAGAGGGATGTCTCAGGGACATGCCCCTCAGAGCATCCCCACTGGGACCCTGCCTGTCCCAGGAGGTAATGTTAGGTACCCTGAAAAAGAGGCATTCCCAACATTTTGGAGAGGGTCATTTTAAACCAGCTTGGATGCCGGATGTGTCCCACAAAGGTTGTGCTTCCAAGCCCCAGAGACAACAAAGGGGCTGGGAAGGGAGTTCTGGAGCAAGGTGGGCAGGAAGGCAGCGAGGCGAGGAGCCGTGCCCGGGGACCCGTGTGGTACCTGGGAGCCGCAGTTGATCTCCCGGGCACTCAGGGAGTAGCTGATGCGTGAGGCCTCCCCGGTCAGCTCCACCTCATAGGTGGGGCCTCCTTCCACATGGCACAGCGCTGTGACATGGGCAATGGTGTTGAGGTGGCCAGTGAAGGTGAAGAAGACCTCCTGTCTCTCTCCCGGCTGTAGCTCACCCGACAGTGGCAGGATACTGAAAACCTGCGCGGAGGACAGGAGAGACTGAGGTGCTGAGCATGGAAATGGATGCAGAAGAGCACCTTGGAGCAAAGTGCAGCTGTAGCCAGAGGGATCTATTCCTCAAACAACACAGCCAGAATCATCCTGATCTCATCCTGTATCCATATCTCATCCTGTATCCATGCCACTGACCAGTGGAGGAACCATGGTGAAAATCTTCTCCCATACTCACGGATCAATGCACTAATACACAACATTAAAGTGAACTGGGATGTCTTCTGGCAGTAGAAATTATCTCTGATCAACAACTTGCCTTTAAAAAGCATTGCTTACTGCTTCTAGGAAAAGAGGAGACTCAGACTGAGAGCTCTTGGAGCCCAGGGAGCTCAGGGAAGGACTCCAGCCCAGCTCATCTGACTCCTGAGGCTTTTCCCTTCTCTCTCTGATTTATATACTGCTTTCTCAAGGTGCTAGAGCAAAAGCTCCTGCAGAAATTTCCTATGGACCACCTGATGATGTCCAGGGAGGAGCAGTGCCCTTCACAGATGCTGCACAGTGTCCTTGGGCCATCCTACAACATGTCCTGCACGGCCTGTCCAACAACCAGTTGCTTCAGCAGCACTTTGTGATGGGTCTGGAGGGAGGTGAGGCCCCTCCGTGGGCAATGCTGAGGGCCACCAGTGGGACTGGGAGCTACAGCCCTGCTTGCCACACTGAAAATGTGGAAGTGAGACAGATTCCCTCTTACCTTCTCCACTTCTAGGGGAGTCCACGGTATGTCCACAGAGTGCCTGAATCCTGACAACCCCAGTGGGATGTAATACCTTCCACGCATATGTGGTGGCAGCTGAAAAACAAACCGTTTTCTATGCTAGGAGGAGGAGAGAGCCACTTTGCAAAGTCTCATTTTATAAGACAGCTTCAGGGCCACCACTGCAATACCAACCCTTGGGTGAAAGCAGAGACCTGGAAACAGGTGGTCTGGCAGGGTTGGGAAGAGGGTACATGGAGATCAGGACTCATCACAGCTTGCTCTGGGAAAGAAGCTGGAGGTCTTAATCATCATGATGCAAATAAAAGCCTCATCTTACATTGTGAAGAAAACAAGGCAAAAAAGTCCCACACTCAACACAGGATCTGAGCAGGCTTCTCCAAGGAAAACTCTCCTATTTCTCTCTCCCACACACCCCATGTCCATCCACAGGCCGTGCTGCCCAGCCCACTCTCAGGGCACAGGACAGAAGGGCAGCAAAAAGGGATGTCAGCACGAGCATGACTTGTTGGTCCAAGCTGGGGAGGCAACACAAGCAGTAGGTGTACAAGAAAATCTACCTTTGATGCTGAACATCGGAGAAGATGCCGTGCTTCTTTCATGGTGTCTGTCTCCTCCTCATTTCCAGATGCTGAGCAATCCAAACAGTTGCTCTTCACCTTTGGTGATGGGGGTGTGAATTCAGGTGGGTAAAGCTCATATCTGGAAAATAACATAGCTGTGAGCAGGGACCTGCAGTGGGAGGGAGGGACACCTGCATGAGGAGCTCCTGGTCAGGATGCAGCCCCTGGCTGGGTGCTGGTGCACTGAACTCAGGAATGGTTTGATCCAGCCCTTCCCAGGCTGGGTGCTGGTGCACTGAACTCAGGAATGGTTTGATCCAGCCCTTCCCAATCCAGGCTGGAGCAGGTCTGTTCTAAAAGCAGCGCAGAGATGACACTGAGATAGCAGTGGTGCAGGCAGCTGCAACTGCTTGCATTGAGGAGCTACAGAGGACAGGGATTAAAACCTTGTGGGGATGCAAAAAGCACAGTGGGAGAGGAAAAGACAGAGAAGGCAAGCAAAAAGGTGAGATTTGAGGCACCAAGGACACATCTGGCCAGTGATGAGCCAGCACAGCCCCATCA